TCAAGAGTAAAGCTGTCAGTTTGAGAACTAAGGTGCACCTGACTCAAGCCATGGTATTTTCAATAATTTCTTATGTATGTGGAAGTTGGACAATAATAAAGAAGATCACAGACAAATTGATTCACTTGAATTATGGTGTTGGAGGAGAATATTAAATGTACCATGGACTGCCAAAAGAACAAACCAATCTGTGTTAGAAGGAGTATATTCAGATTGCTCCTTAGAAATCAGGATGGCCAGACTTCATGTCTCATACTTTGTACATACTATTAGGAGGGACCAGTCACTGGAGAAGGACACCATTCTTGGTTAAGTGTAGTGTCAGTGAAAAAGAGGAAGACCCTTGAGAAGATGGACCGGCACAGTGGAAGTGGGCTCAAGTGTAGCAATGACTGTGAGGTTGGCGTAGCACCGGCAGTGTTTCATTGTGTTGTGATAGGTCACTTTGAGTCAGTGCCCACTCAATGGTATCTAACAACTACAATAAAGGTATGAAGTGACTGGCTTACAAGCTTTCATGGGTATGCCTAATTTCAGAATGAGGGGTAAGGTAGAATTCCCACTGTATAGTTTTCCTCTCTTCCATACAGGTCTGGTGAAAGGGCATGGGGAATAATGCTGATAGGATTTTACAATTTCAATTTTGAGTATTTTTAATTGTTTACAGGATTAACTTTGATTGTTAAAACTGTAAATGTAGAAAATGTGTAACTAAAAAGGGGGAGTAGTTAATCTTTCATTTCAGAAACCAGATGATCCAGGACCATCAAGAAGGAAGAGTGTAGGATCCCTGGCATGTAGAAGTGGTGACAGCACAGATGGTAGAATGCAGAGACAAAGCATCAGAAGACTGTAGGCCCAGAGTGAGTGAAGCTATGTGCCTACAGGCAAGAGGCTGGCTTGCTGAATATGCCCTTTGGACATTTAAATGAATACATATTTTTGTTTTGTTTTGTGATACGTGCATCAAATATTTTTGCTTTGTTCATTTGTGACATATAATATGTAAATGTGGCCTGTGTGTTTTTTAGGTATAGGTGTTTTAGTCATATCATGTTAGGCTCAAATATGACTTAAGAATTTTCTTTGTTTAGAGATTATGCATATAGCTTTGTTGTTGTTGTTAAGTGCCGTCGAGTCGGTTCTGACCCATAGCGACCCTGTACAGGGTTTCCGAGGCTGTACATCTTTATGGGAGCAGAACGCCTCATCTTTCTCCCGCGGAGCGGCTGGTAGTTTCGAACTGTTGGCCTTAAGGTTTGCAGCCCGATTCGTAACCACTACGCTACCAGAGCTCCTTATAGGTGCCTTATTGACATGGGTGGACTGTAATTATTAGGGCTCTGTGTCAACTACACTAGGCCAGGATTCCCAGTGGTTTAACTAAATCCTATGATGACTGCCTATGAGCAGGCACAGTTAATTCAATGATGACTGGTTATGAGCAGCCAATCAATTGAAAGGATATTTCCTTGAGGGTGTGGCCTACTCACAATATAATGGACATGTGGGAAAGGCGTACCGTCTCTTCTGCTGGCAACCTGGGACTCTACAACTGCAAGCCATTTACTTGGTTTGGCTTCTCTAAAAACGAAGCCTAAGACAGCTCCTTAGAAGCAAAGATGGTGAGACTTTGTATCTCATATTATCAGGAGGAACCAGTCACTGGGGAAGGGCATATACTTGGAAAAAAGAGGAAGACCACCATAGAAATGAATTGAAACCGTGGCAGTAACATTGGGCTCAAACATGACAACAATTGTGAGGATGATGCAGGACTGGGCATATCATCAGATATAGAACAATCATTCTATTGTGCATAGGGCCATTATGAGTAGAAACCAGCTCAACAGCACCTAATACCATAGTGGCCCTGCATAGGGTTTCTTAGGCTGTAAATCTATACAGAAACAGAGACTCACTTTTCTCCTGTAGAACTAGCTGGTGAATTCAACTACTGATCTTGCAGTCAGCAATTCAATGCATAACCCCCTGTTACCAGAACTCCTTATATTTGTATGCACAGCATATATATTCATATATATGGAATTATATAGGAAGCACAATTATAGATAATCAATCCCTAGATATATCTGAGCATTTAATAGATTATTAGGCTTATGGTCTCAAGACCATAGTCTCCAGGGTATAACTAAGAAACTGACATAATTTAGTTCATAATGTTCTGCATCCTAGTTTGCTGAGTAATATTTAGGGTTTCAAAAGCTTGTAAGTGGTCATGTCTAATACAACTACTGGTCTTCTTGTACTGGAACAAAACAAAGTAAATGAAACCAAAGAAATAAGCCCACACAAACCACAGCTTCTTCTAGCTTGAGACCAGAAACTGTAGCTGGTACCCAGCTACCACTACAGGCCATTCTGACCAGTGATACGTTAGGAAGTACTGGTTAGAATGAGAGAGGAATATAGACCAAAACTCAAATTTATTTAAATAATACCAGACTTATTGGACTCATAGAAACGAGAGGAAGCATCAACATGATTTCCCTAAAAACCCCTTTAACTTAGAAGTGAAGCCACTACAGGAGTAGTGAAATGACAGAGTAGCCTATGAAATCAGCAATAACACCAATGAGAAATCTGCTCATTTAAAAACCAACTGTGTAAGACCCAACAGTCAACAGTCACCCAAAACCAAAGAGGAGAGGCAGAGGAGCTGGGAGGCTGGAGTAGGGTGGAGATGGTGAGAGTGCTGATCCTTGTGGGGATTGCAAACAATGTCACTGAGCAATTTGTGTTTAAATTATTGTATGGGAATTGACTCCGACACCTAACAATAACTCAAAGCAATCAGAAGTAAGATGGTAACAGACGTGTGCGTGTGTATTATATAATACTTTTTTAAATTAGAAGAAAAGAAAACAAAGATTTTAAGAGCACAAAACCTGGCTAAGCCAAAGTCATCTAAAGCACAATAAAACATTTTTAAATTGATTAATTTTAAACTATCAAATATCCCAAAGTTTAGTTTTAATTTTTAAACCATAGTTATATTATGACAGCAATACAACATAATTCCATGAAATAGAAAATCTACTAACATTTAACTTCTCCTGGCTCTACATGTACAGTCAATTCTGGGACCTTTAATATTGACACAGTCCCACCCTTATCAGTTATGAGAAACAAATGGTACATACTTGAGCTGTCCTTCAGCTGTATCTGGACTATGCCTGTAGTGAAAATCAGTATAGGGTGCTAATATTCGCTAAAAAAGAAAAAAAGGAGTACTTGTTATAAAATGCATCCTTCCTAGTACAGTCACCATCATAGCAAACTATGCTGTTGTTGTAAAGTGCCTTGTATACGCCTTTTTGAGGACATGCACTTTCATTTCCTTTGAATACATTGTTGTTAAGTGCTGTCCAGTCAGTTCCGACTCATACAGAGTCTATACAGAGTTTCCAAGAATCAGCTGGTGAGTGTGAACTACCGACTATGAGGTTCAAAATGACCTTGTGGTCCCATGCCTTACCCTGTAGCACCACACCAGAATAAAAAGATAAAATTAATTCAATTTCTCCATATTTTAAATTGGGCTTATGGCTTGAGAGACTTACACTTCTTGAAACTCAAAGAAAACTGAGCTAAGTAATTTTTTTAGTGTGCAAAAGGAGCTTCTGACAGTCTGATTTGAAGTATGTCATATACAAGTTGAGTTGTTGTTGTTAAGTGCCATCGAGTCGGGTCGCTAACCCTAAATTTAAGCAGTTTGAATCTACCAGCCATTCATTCAGTGGGAGAAAGATAAGGCTTTCTGCTCCCATTAAGATTTACAGACTCAGAAACCCTATACAGGGTCACTATAAGTTGGAACTGACTCAATAGCACACAACCCCACTATCATCTTAAAAATAGTACACAAGTCATAAATGCAGTTTGACAGATTTTGTACAATCAGCAGCAGTTGAAAAAAAACTATCAGCATTTGCAAAGTCCTCTCATAACCCATGCCCTTGCAGTCATTAAGATAACTTATAACATCCAAAGAATAGTTTTAAAGAGTTTTGAACATTGAAACAACTTTATTTTGCAAATTCTATTCTCCTTTTGTTGTTCATGTAAAGAAATACAGTTTATTTTCATAGATTGAACCTTACTAAATTCACTCATTGTATTAAAACTTTAGAACCACTGTATCTGTTCACCAAAACTCCCCTTTTGCCCATTATATTATCATGGCCAATTTCATTCTAAATATAATTTTAATTACACAAGATATACTATTACTTTTAACACTAAGTATCCTTTTATTTCTACTCAAATATTTATGTTTCCTGGCACTTTTTACTCCTTCCTAAATTCCCCTGTCTATGGCTGATTGTTTTCTTCTGACAAAGGTTAGTGTCTGGAAACTCTGATAAAGTGAGGCAATCTACTTTTTAAAAGACTTACAGCCTCAGAAACCCCATGGAGCAGTTCTAGTCTGTCCTATATAGTAGGGTCACTGCGGGCCAGGGTCAAGTCAACAGCATTGGGTGGTAATGGTGGTGGACTGATAGTTTTCCTTCTAAAAATTCCCGTTAGCTTTCTTTTTGAAAAAAACAAACCACCAAACATTTATTATCTGAAATCGTTTCTTTAAGTCCAGAACCTAGCAAAGGCTTGTCTATGTGGTTATAGCTCAGAGTCTCTTAGGAGGTTGAAGTCGAAATGTTGGTCAGGACTGCAATCATCTCAAGGCTGTCTGGAGCTGAAGGATCTACCAACATATGGCTCACTAATGAGGGTACTGGTCCTCCACTTGCAAGCCTCACCTTGGGCTTTGTTGTTCAGTGCCATCAAGTTGATTTTGACTTATGGTGACCCTGCTTAAGGTTTGCAGGGAGCAACTGGTGGATCTGAACCACTGACATTACAATTCAAACTGACCTTGCAGTCCAGTGCTTACCCTACAGTGCCATGTCAGGACTCTTTAGTGCAATCCAAACTGAGAAGTATTTCTTTTGATTCTCTTGGGTCTTTGCTTTTTTTCTATAGTCTGAAAACCAATTTTTCTTTGTTTCTGAAGGAAATTTTCTCTAGATTAGAAAGGCAGCTACTTTGTTTCAGTACTTCAAAGATGTCTTCTGCTTTCCATTACTTGTGTTGAGAAATCGGCTATCAGAGTCACTCCATTGAAAGAAATATCTTTTTTTTTTTTCTCAAACTACTTTCAAAAAGGTTTTTCTATGTCTCAGTTTCCAGCAATCTTACCCTGATGTATCTGTTTTGGTTGTGAGCTGCCAGAGTCGGCTTCCACTCATGGTGACCCTTTGTAAAACACAATGAAAAAATGCTCAGTGCGGCTACTCCATCCTCACAATTAAAATGTTTGTATCTACTGATGCTGCCACTATGACAATCCATCTCACTAAAGACAGCTCTCTTTTTCAAAAGCTGCCCCTCTCCCTTAACCAAGCAAGAGGCAAATGAAAATGCATGAGACAAAGTCTCAACATCTCGCTTCTAAAAGAGCATTCTGACTGTCCTTCTTTAAAGACAGATTTGTTTGTTCTTCTGGCACTCCATGGTACTGTTCAGTACTCAACAATGTCATGATTCAAATGCATTAATTCTTCTTTCATTTTCTTTCTTCATGGCCCAGCTTTTACATTCATAGGTTGTTGTTAAGTATTGTAGAATTAGTTCCAACTCATTGTGACTCTGCACAGGGTTTCCGAGGCTGTAAATCTTTACAGGAGCAGAATGTCTCATCTTTCTCCTGTGGAACCGCTGGTAGTTTCCAAAAGCTGACCTTGCAGTTGGCATCCCAACTCATAACCACTACACTATCAGAGTAAGACAACTAAAATACCATGGCTTCATCAGGTACACCTTCGTCTTTAAGGTATCTTTGTTTTTAATACTTTAAAGTGGTCTTTTGCAGATTTGACCAATGTAATATGCTGATTACTTGGTTGTTGCATCCATAGGCATTTGATTGTAAATGGACTGATTTCCTGACAACTTCAAATTTTTCTTCATTTATCAAGATGATGTTTATTGGTCCAGTTGTGAGGATTCTGTTTTGTTTATATTAAAGTGTACTCCAAAGGGAAGGCTGCAGTCTTTGATCTTTATCAGTTAACTATTTCAAATCCTCTTCATTTTTGCAAGCAAGGTTGTGTCATCTGAATATTGCAAGTTGTTAATACATCTTCTCGTCCTGATTCCTTATTCCTCTTTAGTTCAGCTTCATGAGGTCCCTAGGTGTTGTCTTCCTTAGATTCTTTTTGGAGTTTTCTGAGTTTGTGAACATGGTTTCCTGTGTTTTAGAAACAAATTTGCCCATGGTCCCTTAAGTGTTTCCTTTTATCCATTCTCTCTCATAGTATGGAACTGTAGGATAATGCACTGGACCTGAAGGTCGCTTTGAACAGCAGGGTCTGCAGAAACCCTATATTAGGTCACTATGAGGAGGAACCAATTAGAGAGCACTTAACAACTATAACAACAACCCCTACTGTGGTGCTGTAGGATAAGAACTGGGCTGATACACTATTCACAAAGTAGGAGGTTCAAAACCATCAGCTACTCCTTGAAAACCCCACACGGGGTCACTATGAGTTAGAACTGACTCTGACACTTAACAAAAATAACAATCCCAAAACTGTAATTAAAACTATGGATTTTCCTTTCAGATCTATTTTATATATTTACTTTTTATATCTTATGTGCTTCATCCTGTATATTTTGCCTTTCTTTCAGTTTACTAAGACTTCTTACTGTCCAAGGTGAAGTCTTAATTTCATTTAGTTGTGAATTTCAGATATTACGGTGTTTGTTTGTTTTTTAATTTATTTAAGGTTTTTATTGTGGATTGAGTAAAAGTTTACAGGGCATATCATCAGTTTTACATTCAACAAATCA